CTATGACAGTATTATGATTTAATATTTTATGGTAGTTTGTGTTTACAAGACTTTTTAAATCTTGTGCTAATTACTTTAATATGTTTTTAATAAACACCTTATTTAATTGTCACATTTCCATGCCTTTTGTTACTTTCACATTCACTTGCAATGAGTTTTGGTTTTCTATTTGAAATAACTTTTTTACATCCTACTCACCACAATGCACTTAAAAAAAAAAGCATAGAGACAAACCCGGTAAAAAAATATCTATGCTTCATTGTCTACTGTGATACATCTTCACTGACAAACCATGACAAGAGAAACTTGAGAAAAACAGTATACTTTATAAGCCACTTCATTTGTGAGGATTTCAACAACAATTATTGTTGTTGGATATGCTTTTATCCAAGAACACCTTCACTAATAAAATTAAAACCCCACTAACTTACCAGGACTTTAACAAGCACTAAAATAAAGATGAGAAATAATAGGTTTTTGAATAACTGATTTTAACTGAAGTCTTTTGTTGAATTAGACACATTTATTCACCAGATAGAAGCACTAAGGACTTTTTTAGATTAAAGATAATGAACTTTACAGACCATCTCAAGTATTTGTTTGTGAGACAGCTGTTAAGGCAGGGGAACAGTTGTTTGTGACATAAGCAGCTGATACCTGAATGACACAAAGCTCAAAGGGGCCGATTGCTGTACAGTTGGCTGAGAGCTTTTCCACAGCCCAAAGGCCTTTGTCTCTATCAGTCCACGATACGTGAAGAACCACTGGGCACACCAATGCCATTCATGGCTTAAGTAGCATGTGCTGAATTTAGTGTATTTTTTAGCTTCTTTGTTTTATTTAATTTTTTTATGTCAGTTAGCACAAGTCAAAATTACTGATATAAATAGGTGAATAAAAAAAGATAGGCGCTTTGGCCGAAAGTCCCACACTCCCACATGACTCCCAATGACTTACCAGGACACTTGAACTGTTACTAATATCATCAGAGATGTTGTCAGCATCTGTGTTTTCCCCACAATAACAAGACAAAATCCCTGCTGTTAAAAAGGCCTTATATGGCCAACGGTGCCTATCAGTAGGACTGCTGCAATTTACTGTATCTGTATTTGTATTCGTATGTAGACAAAAGTAGATATGCCCATATTTAATCCATCCAAAGAACATGCCGTATATGATGCTGTGGAGCAAGCAGTTCATTTGTTGGCACCAAATATGATAATGAACAAATGTCTCAGGCAGCACCAGGCTCAGTGGTTAGCACTATGGCCTCAAGGCCGGACAATCCTGGTTTCAAACGCAGGTATGACCCTTCTGAGTGGCCTGTGCATGTTTTACAAAGGAGCTCCTGTTATCCAAAAAGGTTAATGCTGCATAGCTCTGCCGATACACCCTCAAAAACAAAATTCTTACTCTCAACGTTTTCTTGAGCGTCTTGGATCACTACATTATGTGAAGTTTTATTCTGCTATTTCAGCCAAACTGTTTATTGACTGACGGATGATTAAAAAAATATGACAGAACAATCAATGATGAGCATAATGTCCCTGCTGTCTCTTATTCAAACCAGGCCACACTATTTCATACATCACTTATAAGTTAGGCATTGTTTTCTGCGACCAATCCTCTAAATCCACTGATTATTCTACTTACTTTAATGCAAGTACTGGAGAGGCAGCCAATATCAAACAATTAACACTTGGACTCACTGACAGCGTTTTTGCTTTAAATGAGATAAAACAATGAATCGATCAAAACAGTCACTGTTTAAATCGATTAATCGCTGCGGTTCTACGAGAGCATCGCTCTGTTAATAACTTAACTAACCATTAGTAAAGCCTACCCCACCTTCCCTCATCAACAACCTGTGAAAAAAGCACCCATGCGGGTTATTGTTTCAAGCCAGGAAGTGGCGGCCCACGGTGACTGTGGGTTTAAAAGACGGAATGTTTGTTTTTCCCCCCCCCCGCGGTTTCACTCATGCATAGAAAAGGTGACGGCTGTTTTCTCAACCTAAACATCACCACGAAAAAAGAAGAAAAAAAGGCCTCAGCTGAAGGCTACGGTCATGTAAACACGCGATGATGCCGAGAGAGAGAGCTGTTCTCACTCTGATGGAGGACACACGAAAACAAAGCGGGCTGATGGGTGACAGGGAGCAAGTGCACAGGAGCAAAAGAGAAAGTGGAAGCGAATCGAAACCCAGGACAACATAGACACAACAACAAACACATACGCACACATAAATGCACCTCACAGCTGCTGATTGGGAACAAAGAGCGTGTCAGCGTGTTAAACTGACGATGGCAGGCCTGAAGTCGCAAACAGCAGACGGGGGACTTACCCAGAATATAATGTTGAATCCGAAAATGAAATACTTGATGCAGCAGCTCACTTCGTGAGCCTTGAAATGCTTTCCTGACATCATCTGGATGGATTTTGTTTTCCTTCGCCGCCTCTGCAACGAGCAGGAATCACATTTGCAGCTGTTCTGTGTTTGGCAGTCGGGATCCTCTGGAAACACCCTTTAATGATTTTTTTAAGGGCTCAACACATGCCGCCCTTTCTAGCGTCTAATTATTAACACCATCTTGATTTTGTGCGGATAAAAGTCGCAGATGAAGCCGTCGGGGAGCGTTCACAGTCCGTCGGCGTCCCTCTACAGATCTCAGCTTTTACCCTGCGTAGATCCTCAGAGGTGTAACGCTGAAATAAACCACAGTGAAAGTCAACCAGATTAAAACCGACGGTCTCCTATCTGACCCGTAATCTAGACATGGCTGTTATTTGATTGCCATGTCTAGGAACCAATGATTTCTTTTAGTGATCTGAGAAGGCGGGACTTCCTCCATGAGAGGGTCTCTAGCCCCATTACAGTGGCAGATAGTACTGGTTATGAGGTAGTTAATCATTTATAGCGGAATTTATTACCCATTAACTAAATACGTGTATGATATACGACAGGAATACATAAGTAAACTTCATCACAGCCATCAGGCTATTAGGCAATAATAAGACTATAAGGCTTGAAATAGTAATTCAAGTTGTAGTGGAATAAATAATAATTCATTCATGCAGTTTTTTGAGGCTGCTGGGTATTAAATCAATCAATAAGTTAAAGACTAATAAACATGGACATCTTAGTTGATGTTAAATATTAAAATTAATATATTTTTGAGACAGAAACAGGATTGAGTTGCTTCACCAGACTTGATTACAGGTCATTTTGTAATGCGAACTTTATGCTTTTATCAGAAAGAATTGAAATAGAAAGTATAAAGAGTATAATTACAAGTGTAGTTACAGAAAATATAAATTAAGTGTTTCCTTTAGTTACTTGAAGGTTTTTATTGAATATTTAAGATTTCATGTTTTTAACACATTACCTCACATTGTCTTTTCCAAAGACTTGTTTAGTCCCGATGAAGAAAGAACTCCAGAGAACACCGAAATAAAGCAGGCTGGATCTCATGTTTCACTCTTGTGTTTAAATGTCAGCAAAGAAAAACAAAATAAAGTTCCAGTTTAATGAGACACAAACTGCCTAGATGCGATGCTTCTTTATTGTTTATTTTCAAAACGCACTTAAATTTTCTACTTTCTTAGGCTTAATCTTTATAAGGTGGATGTGATGTGATGATGTTTACGCCTTTTGGAGGGTGTAACTGACCCTGCTTTATATTTTATTTACAGTGTTCTTTTGAACTTGTAATTTTGCTGTTTTAAACATCGGTACCGTCTTAGAAATTACATTTAACTTTACAGTAGATCAGCGTGGCATACTGTTAAAATACATTTGGCCTTTATTATAATGTACATGTGGATTAGGGCAAATATACATGTGAAAAAATAAGCATCCTCGTGATTCAGTAGCTTGTACAACCACCTGCAGCAGCAATAAATGTGACTCCATCAGTCTCTCACAGCATTGTGGAGGAATTGTGTCCCACTCTTCTTTACAGCGTTGCTTCAGTTCATGGAAATTTGCAGGCATCGACTTGTGCACCACTCACTTAAGGTCCCACCTCACTGTTACAGTCAGCCTGAGGTCTGAGCTTTGACTGGACCTTGATTCTTTTCCTTTTCAGCTATTCTGTTATAGATTTGCTGCTGCGCTCAGGATCATTGTGCTGTTGTGTGGCACAATTTGGACCAAGCTTTAACTAGCTAGCCTCCTCTATCCAAAGGAGAAGTCTTGCACTTTTCTTAGATGAAACTTGCAAACCTGCAAGTCTAATCTCTAGATGTATGCTCAATCATCCAGGTAAGGAAATCCCAGAAAGCTGTTCATCTGAACATTATGTTTTCAGTTGGAGAAATGTCTCATCACTCATCCAAGTGAATTCTTCAGTCTGAAGAAGACTTGAAGTCACCTGGATGAGTGACAAAATGTTTCTTTCACAGAGAAAGGGATAGAATGAACAGAATCGGCATTCTTGAATTTGCAAACCTAAACCATTCTACCGTATTATAGAGAAGAGGCAACCCTTTCAAACAATGCCAGACCCCCACCCCTTTTTACTATCATTTAACATGCTAAATGAGGCCTGCTTTTATAGAGGCGCTCGCAATTGTTAATTTATTTAATCAAGTGGATTTGATTAGCAGCACCTGGCTAATGTTGTTGAACAAGTAAGAATGCTATTAGTTGTTCACATGACTTTATATTGCCATGCATATTATTGGATTTGTCATTTTAAAAAGAAAATCTGTTCACATGTACTACTTTTGGTATGAAATTGAAGAAATATTTGATTAATTCAATGACAATTTTATTATTTATTTTATTCACTTATATTGAAAAGTGACAGTTCTATAGATTTATTTAATTAGATGTGGGAAAATTTCGCCCCCTAGTGACTAAAATTGTGTTCTGCATCACTGTAAGTCAGCCTGCTGAAAACCTACAAGAGTGGCAAAAGTGTACAGTGAAACAAGCACTTCTGATGAAGTATTTATTCCAAGATAAACACGGAATAGACACAAACAGTCATTTGGGGGATTTATTGAGTTTTATTGCATAAAATAATATATTAATTATCTAATCTATTACACATATTCATTTACAAAAAAAGGATCAATAATGAAAATAAATATTTCTGTGCAGTTTATTTGCACTGTCAAAGCAGGCAGAGAAATGCTGAGATCTACATACATGTAGGTTAATAAAAACACATTAAGTCATAGCCAAGACAACCTTCATGATGCAGACAGAAAGAGGCTGCTGCTTTCAAAGTCCTTGATCTGATACTAATTCACTGACTTACTTCCCAAGTATCATCACTCAACAAACCCACCGTCATCGTTTCCCTGTATAATTTGCAGCACAGTTTTATGTACTCATTGCATTGTTAACATTTTCCATTCCACCCAAAAGGCTTCTCATGAAGATACATTAAAAATGTTTATCAACAAAGTTAGTAATAATGCTATATCAAAATTATTCACCTTCACCTTTGGCTGCACTTCACGTAGAAAAATATAAACGGTTTATAATAAGAAAATACATCATGTTGTTACAAAACTATTGCTTCAGAATATCACCAAAATACTTGTTTTCTTTGTAAAACATGATTCATTTGACCTTTCATGATTGCACAAGTTATTTTGGTTGTTTGAGTTCCCAGAGTCCTCTGTGGGAGGACAGGGGTAAAATGATATTAGTTAAACGGCTAGAGGCAGATTTCAGGAGCATGTCCAACAAAGTAAAAAAGAAAAAAATGCTTTGGAGAGCTTTGTGTTTCAGGGATTTGGTCTGCAGCATTCAAAATACATCCCTTTTGTATCCTGTATGCATTTTTTTTCCTTTTTTGCCAAATAAAAAGAAAATTAAAGTTTTAGCTTTTGGACGGAGAAATTAACAAATCATACCTCCAAAGACTACAACTGCTAGCAGATACCGGATGGTTTGGCATCTTCTTTCCAAACATTTTCTAAAATTGCAAAGCACAATCACCTTCATTCTTCTTTGGAATCCATTATTTAGTGTTTAAGGCCAAACAAAGTTTGAAATAATAATAGCCCTGAAGGTCAGTTGAGAAGTCTGGGTTGAAAGCAAAAACATTCGGGATTAGAGGCTAAACACAAGCAAGCTAATTGTTTGATTAAATAAATGTAGATATTATATCTTAAAATGCTACGTTCACGTCACATTCAGATTTTTGGGTTTCTACATTGGGTGCCAATATTAAAAAGGTACCTGGTCATTCACTAATATATGAATGGTATTATTTTCTTGAGAGTATTATTGCCTATTTAATTAGGAAATATATACAGGTATATATTAAACACTTTCCTCATTTACTATTCTAAAAAAAAAAGAAAAATTACAGTAGCATCCTTAAAGTAAAACTGAACAGATCTGTAGCAGAAATGTCCCATGTGTTTCTGATGTTTTTCAGCAAAAAGCCTGAAAGCACGGGCGGGCAGACGTACAGCACAAAGGCTTTGCATAAATGACCTTTGTGTAACGCTTTAGTAACATTTTATGAACCAATAAAGCTTGCTGTTGATTTGCTGAGTGTATTAGCAACGTGACACTTTAATGCGTGACGCATTAATCACAGTTAATAAATTCAGTGCTTTATTGTTTCTAAACATGGTTTCATGACTGCACTCATGAGGTGCTATGTTTTTTACTCTTGTAAAGGCAACATAACTCTTTACAGTGAGGTTTTCTCAGTTCCCAGAAAATGTAGAAAATCTTCTCTTTAAAGAAGTATGAAATGTAAAATACTAACACTTAAACTCTTAAGAGATTTTAAATACGTCTTATGCAAAGCCTGAGATACGTTTGTAACACTGTAAAGGTTTCTTGGCTTTGATATTTAAGAGTAGTTGTGTATCGTCTAAAACAACCTGTTGTTCTTTGACCGAGTTGCATAAACATGAGCCAAATACAAAATCCTTTCAAGACGTGCATCACGTATATCCTCAAGTCACAAGAGCACCAGTTGATGCAAGGTGAGTCACAGATGCTGTGTCTCGGTGTGAACGCATCAGCGTTGCTTTAAGTCACCTTTATAGTAGACTTATGGACGCAGAGTAGGGAGACATATGGCACACCAATGAAGGCCCATTTCTCACTGGGCCAGAACATGATGACGGGACCTCGCTCCGGTGCCTCGGTAGCAACATCAAAGTAGGCGAAGCAAACGCAACCCAAATAGGAAGCCAGACAGATGAGGATGTGCCTGTAAGAGCAAAATGATCACGAATAAGCCTAACCTCTGAAATGATTTACAGGCACAGCTGTAAAAGTTTAACAGTGTCTTGTTTTCCCTGAAACAAATCTGGGGAAACCTGCAGTCAGCTCAGACTGAAGAAGTCACTTGAATGAGTGACAAAAGGTTTCTCCCACTGAAAACGCTACATCCAGATGAACAGAATCAACTTTTTGGGATTTTTCCAACTACTTCTGCAGCCATGTGAAAAAAGAAAGTTTTCGCAGGACTCTATGCAGTTTGAAAAATAAAACATTAAAATAAGCAAACTTGTATGGCTTTCATAGGAATTCAGAGGGTAAGTAACAGTCAGGTTCTGGTAAACAATTGCACTTGATTAACTAATTACCAGTAAGTGTGAACACTTCTATAAAACCAGAAGTCTTGACAGTTTGCTGGTCTAAAACATTCAGGTATTGGTTCTCACAATGACAGCCAATTCACCTGAGACCATGCAGAGAAATTGCAAAATAACAACAGCTACATCTCAGAACCGCATTTAGCATATCACATGTTAAAGTTCAAGACATTATAATAATAATTATAATAATAATAATAACGTATACTTTATTGATCCCCGTGGGGAAATTCCTCTCTGCATTTAACCCATTCACTCTGTGAAGCAGAAAGTCCCTTATCTCAAAAAAGTCCATGACAGCATGCTGTGGCATGATCTTAAGAGAGCTGTGCATAAATACCCACAAACCTCAATTAAATAAAGGCACACTGTAAAGAACGCTAGGCCAAAGTTCCCCCACAATGATGTGAGAGGCTGATAAAGTCATACGGAAAACAAGTTATTCAAGTTAATGCTGAAAGGTGGTTTTTACAAATTTCTATTTCACGTGACTTAATTTCTCAAATTCCTCTTTTCTGTTTGATTTACCTTCAGTCTATTGAAGCTACTGCCTAGTTCCCCTGCCTGTTCCTCCTCATATAAAACACATAAATCACCTGAAATGAAAACTGGTTGACATTTTTTATTCATTTGTTTTAAGAAAAAAAGTATACAGTGCAACTGTAACTGTCTTGTAACACTTATTTTGCCTTTTAGTCTCACAGGATAAAATACACATTGTGAATAAATGATACCATTAACACCTTATACAGCACTGAGTTTGACTTTGAGTCGACTTTGAGCTTACCAAGCACAGTGTAGGTAGGGAAAGTTGACAGATGACCACACTTCGCAGAATATCCTGTCACTGATCCAGCAAAGCAGAGCCAGCGCCCACCAGATCCCTGAGATCAGGCCCAGCTTGAACACACGTGGGTTTTCACACCTGCGATGACACAGTGAAGAACAATGTGAGCCGTGAAAATACAAATGCAGCCAACTTGATGATTTATTCAGCATATAAATAGAAACAGTTCAATTTTGTTAAAATAGCAATACATTTCCTAGAATTACAGATTATATTGATTTTCTCAAAACAATCTGAAATATTTACTAAATAAATGCAATTAATCATATATGTAAAGTACATTGCTGCTAAACCCACGTTGGCCACTTGTGGGCAGCATATATATTCATCATTTATTCCTCTTCCTCTTTCACATCTATACAGACAAACATTAACATTTATTTTACCACATTTATTTTGAGGCACACGTTTGCATTTTTGTCTTAAAATAACTCCATTATCTAATATCTAGCTCTTCAGCTGCCAACTCTCCCAATGACATTCACTTACATAATCATTTAATCCACTGTAATATAAAAATACTACAAAATCATAGTGGAAATTTTCTCAGTTTTAGCAAACTAACATTAAAATACTGATCCTCACGTTTACATTTCTTTTTATCAATAAAATACTTCTGCAAATCTTATTTCTTGCCTAAAGAATCTTAAACCTCTGGGCCTCCTCACGCGGTCGCTTCCAGAATGTACTGGCCTTTTTGCCCAATTTTGGTGCTCTAAAAGCAGGAGGATTTTAGCGATTTTAATGGCAATGATGATTGCTCCAGCTAGATTTATCTGCAAATATCCTCATGGATACTCCTCTGACCTAGAGAGATGTGCTAATCCAGAGTGCCACTGCCAAACTATTCTTAGTCTTGCCCTCCTTAGGCACACCAGTCAGAGCCAGGCCAAACAGAGTGCAGAGACAAAGAGGGGGACACAGAAGCCTGACTGTGACTAAACGGTGCTGACGATACAGGACTGGCAGTTTGTCACCTGCCCTTAGGTCAGTGCATTTAATGGATTGGATTTATATAACGCTTTTTAAGGCACCCAAAGCGCTTTACAATGACACTATTCATTCACTCTCACATTCACACACTGGTGGAGGCAGCTACAGTTGTAGCCACAGCTGTCCTGGGGCAGACTGACAGAAGCGAGGCTGCCATATCGCGCCATCGGCCCTTCTGGCCAACACCAGTAGGCAAGTAGGGTAAAGTGTCTTGCCCAAGGACACAACGACCAGGACAGAGAGCCCAGGGATCGAACCGGCGACCTTCCGGTTACAGATGCGATTCCCAACCCCCTGAGCCACAATTTGATGAAGTCAAACCATTGAAGAAGCCTCTACCTTTGAGTCACCATTGTTTCAAGGTGACACGAATCCATGGATGACACAGAACCTTTCCAGCTCAGCAACATAACCGGATTGAGCTAAACGGCAAACATCACTCTCACGCAGAGGCTCAGGAATCTTTGTAAGCAGACGTGAACAACTTTACACTGACAGTGAAAGCAGAGATTAGATTAATTAGCAGTCAGTTGCGATCACACTGACTGATAAAGGTGGTCTGGTCTCAGGGAATGTGGGAGTCATTCAAGCGAAAAAGCTCCGAAAGCTCTGACACCATGAATGTAACATTTGTCACTGACCTTCAGAGCCCCAAAACCATGTGGAGAACACTTATTTTTATTTAACCCCTTAGCAGTCCTACAAATTTACAATTAGTCCCCTAAACCATCCAATGTACCGTGGGCGGTACGTCCGACTGCTAACAGGTTAAACAAAAAGACACTTTTCCTATTTAATTAATTTACACTGTAATCATAAGCCTGTGGAAATGTGGAATTTGGCCAGTAAGGAATACTAAGGTTGCCAGCATTGGACAAAAGTACTAGACCACACCTCTTAACCTTTGAATTCAGGCATTTCATTCAGTCCCACTGTCATAGGTGTATAAAATCAAGCACCTGGCCATTCAATCTGCCTTTACACTTTGTAAAGATTGGTGAAAGAATGGGTTATTCTAAAGAACTCACTGTATTTCAGCATGAAACTGTAATAGGATGCCACCACTGGATTAAGTCAACTCAGTTACGGAGCACGGCTGACGAGTGCTAGGGGGCATAGAGCGCAAAAGTCGCAAACGCTCTGCTGACTCATTAAGTGCAGAGCTCCAGACTTTTTCTGGCATTAACATCAGCCCAAAAACTGTGTGCTGGGAGCTCCATGGCCGAGCAATTCCTGTAGATGTAACACGTCGGTGGACCCGTACATTTATCTGCATACTGTATGTTCAGAAGTGGATGACTCCCTGGAAGCAGTGAGAAATGGTGCTACATTTTTATTTTTCTACATCTTTTATTTAAAAATAATAACAGCTACAGAAATTGCAAAATTTACCCATCACACCAGAATTAAAGATTTCTTATTTTAAAGTAAGTGCGCTGGTGACCTGAACTGGTAAACAGCCTCTATTACATAACTTGCCCAGAAAGAGGCAGGAAAAAAGGGTGTCACAGCTATGAACCGCCAACAGGAAGTACAAAAATAGATGGCCAGTGATGCATCTTCCCACTGGGAAGTGGGTCATTAAATTGTCATCAATACTGTAAAAACTGATTGTTCCAGTTAATCACAGAACACAAAAAGAGTGGCTATACGTCTTTATATTACAATTTAAGTGTCAAAGTGCTTAAAAAATATAAACTAATCGATAACTGTGAAGATGTGACGACAAGATATGTGAAAGCAAGAAAAGAAAGCTTAATATGGGGCTTATGCATTAAAAATGCACAGGCCTCAAAACAGAAAGTCAATGAAACAGACTAGAAAAACACCTGAGAGCACTGCTGGCAAAGGTAGAAAAAAACCTTCTGATTCATTGAATCAAAACTGGGGGAAAATGATTATTTCTCTTCAGCTGCATGAATTTGTTCATAAAATGACCATAGAACGGGGGTTTCTATTCGTATATCTGCACGATTCGGTTCCCTATGGAAAAGAATTACCAAAGGAATATAAGAAATTTTATTCTGAGACTTTGTAATGATGAAAAATGAGCTACAGGAAGATCACCGATTAAAACTTAGAAGAAGCACAGATGGGCTAGTAATCAGGAAGTACAGGGGGAGACACAACACTGCTATTAGAGCCACTGTGGCGTCCTAATGGAAATTATGCTGCACATAGTGCTTCAGTTGAATAACAAGCCTCTGAAAGACAGACAGGCGTGCCCTTCAGACTTGGCAGATTAGAGATTATGACATGCAGTGCAAAAACACCCAACAACAACCTCTGTGGATAGCATCATTTAAAAAGCAAACAAACAAACAAACTTACTTTCTGTCTAGCAAGATAAAAAACAAAAACACAAGAAGAAATTTACTGAACAATGGGGGAAAGTGCTTTCAAATGACATACATTATTAACACATTCCCTTGACAAATTAAATAACTGAAAATAAAATGTTTATTTCTAATACTTAGTTGAAAACCCTTTGCTGGCAATGACAGCCTGAAGTCTTGAAATCATGGACATCGCCAGATGTTGGTTCCCTCCGTTTTAATGCTCTGGCAGGCCTTTACTGCAGCAACTTGCTGCTTGTTGCTGTTTGTTTGTGGCCCTTTCTGTCCAAAATTTAATCTGCAACAAGTGAAATGCATGCTCGGCTGTGTTAAGATCAGCTGACTGACTTGGATCTTCAAAAATATTCCACTTCTTTGCTTGAATAAACTCCTGGGTTTCTTTGGCTATATGTTTTAGGTCATGGTCCATCTGTATGGACCAACCAACTTGACTGGATTTAGCTGGATTTGAGCAGACAGCTTGTCTCTTAACACCCCAGAATTCATTTGGCTGCTTCTGTCCTGTGTCACATCATCAATAAACACTAGAGTCCCAGTGCAGCTGGCAGCCATGCACCCTAATGCCATCACACTGCCTCCGCTGTGTTTTACAGATGATGTGGTATGCTTTGGATCATGAGCTGTTCCACGCCTTCTCCATAATTTTTTCTTGTCATCATTCTCACCACTCTATTCTGATCTTGGTTTCATCTGTCCGAAGAATGTTTTTCCAGAACTGTGCTGGCTTTTTAGATGATTTTTAGCAATGTCCAATCTGGCCTTTCTGGGGGAGATGAGTGGCTTGCACCTTGCAGTGAACCCTCTGTATTTACTTTCACACAGTCCTCTTGGATATCAAAAGGTCAATCTCCCGAAGAGTATTGTACACCTGGTTGGCTGTTGTGAAGGAGTTTCTCTTCACCATGGGAATGATTCTGTGATCATTCACCAATGTTCTACTATTGTAGTAATTTCTGAGATGGGGTTTTTTTCTGTTTTCGCAGCGTAAGGATGGCTTGTTTCACCTCCATGGAGAGCTCCTTTGAAAACAAGGCCAAGTAGCTCTCCAGTTTCTACTGTCTGGTCACAGCAAAATCTTCTAAATACAAGAACTACACCTTAAATCAACTGCCCACACCTCCCAATGAAATTGAGTCAATTGTCCAATTACATTTGGCCCCTTTAAAAAAAAAAAAAAAAAAAAGGGGTGGCACATGTTGAGGAGCTGAAACTCCTAAACCCTACATCCAATCTGAATGTGGATACCCTCAAATGAAAGCTGTGAGTCTACACATTATGTCCATGCCCATTATATAACTTTACTTAGAATATGCTTCAGTAAACAAGTAAAAAAAATGTGGCATTTTAATCATAAACATGGAGCAATAAAGCAGCAGCAAAGAGCAGCTATGAGAATCATCTCTAAGAAATCCCCAATAAACACTTTTTTAGTAGAAAAAAGAAAAGAAAGAGTAAATATTGAACTACTTACTTCATCATATGGACAGAACTATGCTCACTTCTGTTGTAAACCTTATACATCAAGTCAGTTGGCCTGAAATATTTTACATAAATTACTCTTATCGAGCAAACGCCCTTTCCTGCCAGCAAATATATGTTGACAAAAACGTCACCACATAGCCGGATATCTGGGAAACTGCTCCCATCAGCCAGGAGATTATAGAAGGATGTGAGATAAGATACATGACATTAGATTAGTGCTTCTGCTTTGAGAGAAAGTGCTGGGGAATCTGAGGAGTATAATTGTGGGAGGCAAAGATAAGGGTGGAGCCCTGATGTGACTCTCCTCGCACTCGACTGTACAAAACAGAGGTCTGTAGCATACGTGACACAAAGCTGGACACTAATTAAATTTATCACTCAAGTTTCAGCGACTCCCATTCCTGTGGATCGTTTCAAAGCTGATGAACAACTATTTTTTTTCCTAAATATGGACCAAAATTACTTGGCTGAACCTTGTTGACTCTTTGCCACAAATAAAATAGGTCTTTCTTGTTAATGAGACGTTCAGTCTCAATGGGACTAAAGGTTAAATAAATAAAGATAAAACCTCTCTAGTACAGGGCGGAACCTCTGCTTGAAAGAAAACTGTTAGTAGAAAGGTATACCTAATAAAATGGTCATAAATAACACTGAAGCTTCAATATGTGGAGTCAAAACACCAGTGGGTGACTTCACGGTGCCTACATCCATCTTGTAACAGAAACAGGATGCTTTTATTTCCTCCCCCAAGCATGTTACTATTTAACCTTATTATCTGTGATATGTTCCATGAGCTGTTTCACATACATCAAATTCATAATAAGATCTTAAAACTTACTATAATACTAACAATGTTCTCCATTACGCTCAGTGTACATTGCATACGTAACTTTGCAGTCACTAAAAATTGTGTCCATGATGGAATTTTCTTCTACACCCCACTTTAAAAAAACGCTGCAGGCTAGTTATAATAGTATTAAAGTATCCAGTTTTGTAATTTTATATACTTCCTCTGCATGCTCACAGTTGACTCACAGAACATGTTGTTCTTGCTGGCCTGAAAGTTGACTTGGATTGAAACCAACAACTAAGTTTTCTGTCCTTTCTGAGGGCAAAAGTCCATCAGTCGGGGCAACAGGAACTCTCTCACACTTGGAACAACAAAAACAAGCAGTTTCAATGGATGACTGGCACTGGCAGTAATGTGAAGAATTACTAACAGGTTGAACAATAGATGAATTTTGGGGACTGATGGTGTTGAGTAAGGGTTATGGGAAACGGAAGCAACGGAACATACGTCCACGTTACTGTGACGGCTAGGAAGCATTAAGGACACAAACACGCAGAAAAACAGAGTGAAAGGCTTGTTGTGCTTTCAGGAACTTTCTTCCACATAATAAGTTTGGAACAGACACACCAGACAGTACAAAAAGGTGAAAGGTGGCATGTTAACAATGCACCGACTTCACTATTTGATTTCTGTTATTTAAACAGTTCAAGACTTAAAGAGGTGATAAAGCACATTGTTGATAAGTCAGGTTATCATACTTCCCATGCATCAACTCTGGAACATTTCCCTGCCTATAAAGGCATGACTGAAACAAAGCCAGAGACTTCATAGAGGACTGCTGGTTTACATTATTTGGGGCTGATAAAAATAAATTTTTTGTGATTTATGCTACATCCTTTGATGCTGCAGTCGCTTCTTATTTACCGCCAATGTTATTTCCAGTTGGGCACATACCAGGCGTTTCCGCCAAACAAACCTCTGCCTGATCTACAGCCATCCTGTGAGTCACTATCCGATTGTTCAGTGATGACGCGACGAATCCTACTTCCGGG